GAGAGAGAGAGAGAGAGAGAGAGAGAGAGAGAGAGAGAGAGAGAGAGAGAGAGAGCAAAGGAGTGGGCGCGCGCAGAGGGTAGCAGGCGCACGGGGAGAGAGAGAGAGAGAGAGTAGTGGACGCGCGCGCAGAGGGTAGCAGGCGCACGGGGAGAGAGAGAGAGAGAGAGTAGTGGACACGCACGGAGGGTAGAGGGCGCGCACGGAGGGTAGCGGGCGCATGGAGAGAGAGAGAGAGAGAGAGAGAGAGAGCAACCTCAACCCATGAGTTTCCACCTCCCCCCCCAAAAAAAAAAAACTCCATGAAAAAAAAATTGAAGACCGATATTTTCTCTGCGGATTCGGGGAGATCTGGACAAGCGCAGTCCAACCCCATCATCAAAAAAAAAAAAAAAAAAATTGACCTGGTTTTGGCCCCAACCGGATTTCCAGTTGGACCACCGGGGTTCCAACCGGTCCGGTCCAACCGGCCGGTGGCCGGTGCAGCCCTGAAAAAAAACTATAAAACAGGAAAGCAAGAATTCACTTTCATGCAAATTCTTCCACTATTCAGTTTCAGATATCTTGAGAAATTCAGAAATCCTAGCAGAGGAAATTCGAATGCTCCAAATGATATCAAATTTGGTAGACAACAACCTTGAAAAATGAAACAAAACAAAAACAGGCAAAAAAAAAGGAAAAAAAGAAAAGAAAATTTGACCCCCAAACCCAAATTTCAGTTTTGGACCTGTTACTCAGGAGCTGAAACCGGTGGTCTCCATTAACCACTTGTGTGGCCAGAGTGGTCAAAAAGAAAAGAAGTATAGAGCTGGGTGGAATTAGTGAATGGGTGTTCCTGTGGCTGGCTGACCTATGTGTTTATGGTTGGTGTTTCTGTTGTTTTGAATATGACCGCCTTTTTTCTGCCAGGAAAGCAGCGCAGATGCATTGGCGACATTCTATTACCCACCAGTTGCAGCTGTTACTGTCTCGTACCCAATATCTGCAGTCAGAGAGGACAGACTAGTAGACGGATTGTTGAAAGGCTTTGGGCAACTGCATCCTAGGAGCCAGGGGATTCAGACTCTGGGTGAGTGGAATCTTTTTATGGTTTGTGAAATATATGCAAGGAATATTAGCGAGAGCGATAGACAGAAAAACAAGTTGCAAAATCACGCAGAAGTCCAGATGGTCATGTACCAAGCAGAGAGCTCAAATGCACCAATATTCCATCCAAATAAGAGCAAAGCAGTGAACTCGTGTGTCAATGTTATCGCCCTCAGGCCCCACCAACACAGTATCCAATGTCGCTCATCTCTGTCTGGCGCCCAGCGCCCAGCCTACTCTACTGAGCCTATCTAGCCTATCTACATTCTCGCAATAGGATCACTCCGACATTGAAGACCAATGTACATGACGTCGACACCGATGCCGACCTTCCACATGCACCAGGTACATTCTCTCTCCTCTCCTCATCAGACCTTGACCACCCACTCATGCGCCTCCTACCCGAAGACCACCTCCACCTATTACCCGATTGCACCCGTGAGGCTTGCTGGGGGCCACAGCTTAGATCATGTGCATGTTGGCTAGGGCCCCGTGAGGGCACATTCCTCACAGATATTCTATTGCTGTGTTTTATATTTCCATGAGACCCTCTTCTTTGGGCCCAGGAAAGGCACTGAGGTGGTTCATTTGTTATTTTATTTTTCAAACCCCGACTTTCAAAACAAGCCCCACCCAAGCCTCTGCCATTCCTTGGACGATCCTCCCTGAAGCGCCCTTGAATTCAGCGGGTCCAAAAGAATAGATGCCGTTGACTCTGTGAAGTCCTCCATGGTATAAGCACTATTGAGGTGTCCGAAGGCTTGGTGGCCCGAATGACCAATTGGTCATGAACTGGCAATCACTACATAATAGTACATATATAACTATTGCTAAGTTCCTGCCTGTGACAAGCAGATGATCGGGGCCCTCCGTTTTTTGCTGCGCGACGGTCCCGATCGTCTGCTGATCGTTTTTTCTTAGAAGTTGAAGCTTCGTCAGGGCCAGTACCGGTCCCGAACGCCAATGCTGACACCATGCTTGGTACCGGGCCTGCTCTACCACACAAGGTACTGGGCCCCCACGCTAGCACCGGTACTGTCGGGATGTTCCCGGGCCAGCGCCAAGCGGCCACAGGTAACAAACTTTTTTTAGATTTTGGGAGGCAATGTGGGAAAAACCGCCCCCACACGACGCCTACCCTCCAATCGACTTTGACTTTTCATTTTCATACCCTAGGCTACAGCGCTCGACTTCGACTGACTTCTATGCTGCTATGCTTGACTACGACTTCGCTCTACATTGGACACGCACATGCACACGCACACACACAAATACGCACCACCACGCACACACACACACACACACGCACGCACGCACAGACACACGCAAACGTGGTGAGTCCTTGGCCATCAGTACAGTTCATCTTGGGTGGACTGTTGGGGTTCAACCTCCTGATGAGTCGGTGGAAGTCCGATGAAACAGTCTGGCTGAGTCATTTTGTGAGTTCTGTATAGCGAAAATAATAACTCTCACACATACTTAGACTCACCCACACAGAACACACACACCCACACACACCCACACAAACGCACGCACACATATACACACATACACACACACACACACACACACACACACACACACAC